CGTAGATGGCGCGGCAGTCTTCACTTCTCATTACCATGCCAGTCCGTTCTGGGCGAAGTCCTCCAAGGTCTCTGGATTTATATGCAATCGCATAAGAGAATTCTTCAGTATGTCATTATAGTGTACTTTTTTGGCCACCCCCCTTGGCAAGCACCGGTGGGGACAACACCAAAGAAAAATTGCTTCGCTATACATATATCTTCTATCCTAACGAAATGACCGCTCCAACGTAGCCACAGTTGCCTCAACATGGCATGAATGCTAAGGATCCCGGTCCATTCTAGGACTTCCGTGTCGGGAATCCGGTCTGGCCACCTCAGCTTTAATATTCTGCGAAGGCAGCCAAGATGGAATTGGTTCAGTTTCTAGGCAAAGTTGTAGTATACGGTCCAGCTCTCCGCTCCGCAATGCTATGTCGTCATGAAGACAGCCTTTCACATCTCCAGACTGGTATTCAGTTGGGGGCCGCGATGATTCCACACGGAGTTCTGTAGCCGGCCGAAGGCTTGGCTGGCTTTGCAGATTCCGTGGCCAACATTATCGTCGATACTCGTGCTGTTGGGAAGTGTGATTCTGATATAAGCAAAAGTCTCTACGATTTTCAGTTGGTTGCCATCGACGAAGACTCAAGGAGGAGCGCAGTGCTGCGTGTTGGCTGAGGGTTGATGCATGACCACCGTTTTGTCCGCGTTGATAGTCAGGCCGAAGTTGGCGAACCCGACGACGAGGAGGTCCATGCTCCGTTGCATGTCTACTTCGGTTGTGGTGTTAAGTGCGCAGTCATCGGTGATGAGCAGGTCGTGTATAGTCGCGTGGGAGTCTTCATACTCCTGCTGTTGAGAAGGTGCCCGTCAGTTCTGTAGGCAATGCGTATTCCGGGAAGCACATCACGGTCGGCGTCTATCAGCATGACGGAGAATGTGAGACTGAAGAGGGCCGACGCGAGGACGCAGTCCTTCATTACTCCAATGGTCGCTGCGAATACCTCGGAGATCGCGCCGTTGTCCGTGACACACTCCGTCATCCAGTTGTGGAGCTGACGTACCATGTGCACGAATCGTTCAGAATTGCCGAACTTTTGCCTGCTTTTCCACAGTCACTCGCCAGTCACCATATTAAAGGTCTTCGTTAGATCCACGAAGTGGTGTGGGGGGAGTCCGCATCTCGTGGCACTTCTCTCGTAGCTGATTGGTAGCGAAGATCATATCGGTGATTGCGCGGCGTCGTCGGAAGCCACACTGGCTTTCCGGCAGAAGTCCTTGGTCGAGGTCTCCGTCGAGGCGTTTGAGGGGGAGGTGCGCGAGGATCTTTTCGGCGATAATGACTTACGAGATGCCTCTGTAATTGTCATAGATTTGCCGGCTCCATTTGCGCTTGTACGGATGGACAATATTTGCGTACTTGACGTCCTGGAGAACTTGTCTACAGCACTATGCCTCCTGAAATAGCGCCGTAGATTAGTCTGTCAGTCGTGGCAGCTTTGTTTATAGATTTCGGTTGCAATTGTATCGGAGCCAAGTGCGTTTCTGCTGGAGATTTTTGCAGAGCATCTGGCGGCCAGAGATCCAGGTCGACGTTTATTTTAAATTGTTTAGCGGCGTCGGAGTTTGCAAAGGGGCGGTTGAGGACGGTTATGAAGCGCTCAGACCCGGCACTACTCTCCAGCCGGTACGGTCTGTCCTGACGCGGACGCTGAAGGCCCCAAAACAATCAACTGATCGGCCTTCGACACAGTCACCAGGAAAGTGAGCAGTTCCTCGTTCAACTTGGACTTCGCCTCGTCTGAGCCGGTCAGTACTTAGGCGTAGCAGCTGATAATGGTGGCTGATTTACCCCTCCGCGGTGGTAAGCGGAGTCTCATCAGGCGATCGTTTACGCCCTGAGGCAGACAGGACAATCGTCCTACAATGTCGTTCTGCATGCCAAAAGCGGCGCCCGCATCTCGTTGCTCTGATTTTGGGCGGCTGCTTCAGAAGAAGGTGTAGCCTACACTCATCTCCTTTATTTGCCCTTTTTAGTGTACCGGGTTTTACTGAATTCGAAGATGTCCACCTAGTACCGCGCCAGCTCCCGAGCCACTAGCGCAGTCCGGTGGGCTCCTCCTGGGATTATTTAAGAGGAACCAAACATTCTACGCCAACAGAGTGAGCGGACACATCCTACCTGCCTGCGAGGTGGGGCGGAAGGAGGAGTAGGAGAGTACTGCGTCTTGTGTCTTGGTTTATACTGTATGTTTATCAGTCTGCAAGCCACGGTCGGCGCGCAGATGTCGTGAACCCAGCTTTGTCTAGGGCATCTTTTATAGCCCCCTCCTCGCGGGGGAAATCAGTGCTCTCCCTAGTAGGGCTGCTAATAAACACAGAGAAACGCTTAAGCGGATATGCAGCAGGCGACCAGGCCCACGCATGGAAATGGCGCAACCCACTGTGGAAACTAAGTGCCACTCACTAGAATATACAAGGGTTATGATAATCAGATAATCTTTTGCGCGGGTGCAAAAACGTTGAGCCTATCTAGAAATTACTAACCACAGTAAAAAATGTTGCCGGAATCTACGTTAAAACAACGGATCTACTCATCAGAGTCGACTACTACGCGGTTGACTGGCTTAGATCAGGGATGGGCCGGAGGCGAATGAGTTTGAACACCAGCAAGTGGCATGATACGTCACCGAGTTGACAAGCGAACTGCGACGCTGGTAAGCAAATATGCAGTCAGCATTAAGATAACGGGGCTGGCAGTGACCACTTAAGCGTCACTCGGGTGATTACATAATAAAAGTCACACTTAGCTGGGAATTGTGCGTGCGCACGCACAGGCCGGTATGCATTGTGAGCATTGGACTCCGCAGATGGTTAAGCAAAAATAGATGGAGTAGGCTGGCAGTCTTGTCAGGTGATTTCGGACCAAATGACCTTTAATAGCCTTGGCCCTTTTTAACTGACCTTGACTACGCCTAAACTGACGACTCCCTGGTAACCAGCTCGTGTGCCGACGAACATCCTGCAGTGGTGTTTGACCGCATTCAATAATTTGGCGTTGCTCTCGTCCCGTCCGCTTGCGCCTTTGACGTGTTCTCTCTGAAGTTTCTTCGACAACTGGCGGGCACCAACGGCATCCACCCTCTTCCTTCGAAGGGTGCCGTCATTCGTGAATTCCCATCCTCCTCCTTCAGGCGTCAGCCACAGCTCTCTCTGGACATAGGGAATTTCTATCGTCAATTCCCCCGAACCTAACTGACACCATTCTGCGACACATGAGCCTCCTCTCGGGTTCTAAAGGTTCGTTTGAGCTTCCCACGGACGCCTTCGTTGCTTTTGACATGGTGAAGACTGCCCTGGCCGACGCTACTCTCCTGACGCCTTCCTCTCCCATCGTTCCCATCTCCCTCATGGTTGACTCCGCCATTTTGCAGTCGGCGCGGTCCTTCGGTAACACCTTGCAGGTCAGACCTAACCCCGAGTTCTCTTCTTTTTCTTCCTCTTCCTTTTCTTCTTCTCCTCCCTCTTTTCCTCTTCTTTTTCTTCCTCTTCTTCTTCAGAAAGTTTTCGCCCATCGAAGCGCGCTACTTGACATTTGGGCGGGAGCTTCTTGCCGTCTACCTCCTCGTTAAACACTGTCGGCGGCGACTTCACTGTGCTCGCGAATCACACACCCCTTTTCTTTGCTCTCAGACCGGATTCTGACAAAATCAACCACCTGGAGATATGCCATCTGGACTATATATCGCAGTTCACTGCAACCATTCGCAATCTTGACGAGTAACGGAATGAGGTGGTTGACGAGCTGTCCAGACTCTCAATCCCTCATCCCACTTTCTCTCGAGATCGATCTCGATGGGATAGCTGCCAAACAAGGCCGTATTAATTTTTTCTATGACGAGGACGTAACCGGACTCTAGCTCCAGGACCTCCCACTAATTGCTGGCTATGACACTATTATCTGCGACGTCTCCACCATCGCCCACCGTCATTTTGTGCCGACATCCAGTAGCAGATAGGTCTTGTCCTCCCCGCACAACCTGTCTCAACCTGGGAGTCGATCTGCCGACAAGCCGGTCTCTGACAGTTTCGTCTGGCCTGAGATGCACAAAGACGTGAAAGCCTGGACATGGGCGTGTTTCAGTTGTCGGTGGAGTAAGGTCCAATGGCACAACTAAGCTCCCATTGGCACCTTCGCCAGCCCCGACGCAAAATTCTGTCATGTTCACCTGGACATTATTGGCCTCATACCTTTGTCAAAAAGCTGTCTCATTTCCTTACTTGTATGGACTGTTTCACTCTGTGGTTGAAAGCTCTCATTCTGCCCGATGTCGCTGGTCCAAAGGTGGTCAAGGCCTTCTTCAGTCGTTGGGTTGCCATTTTAGGTGCCATCTGCACAATTAAGACTGGTCGTGGTGCCCACGTTGAATCCCACCTCCTCCATTCTCTTGTCTCCTTTTGGGCCGTACTCATATCCGCACGTCAGCCTATCACCCTGCCATCAGCAGGATGATTAAGCGGTTTCGCCGCCAGTTAAAGACCTTCCCACGCACGCAGAGCCACCGGAGAACTGGACGGACCACTATCCCCAGATCCTATCGGGCATCCATTCCACCCTTATTTCGGAGCTTGATTGTTCTAACACCAAACTGGTATTCGGTTCCAGCGTCCGACTTCCGGGTGAGATGATCCCGCCAGTTCCTTATGGCGCGGCCAAGGATCCTACCAACTTCCCGCTCCTTTTCCGACAGCCTTTGCGGAATCTGTTCACGATTCGGCCCTGGCACTCGGTCTCCAAGTCTTATCTCGAGAATGACTTTGCGAAATGCACTCACACTTATTAACAACGTGCTCCAGTACGCCGGCCACTGCAACCCCCTGCAGCAACCCTTCCCAGGTTGCATCGCGAGTGATGAAGACGTTCCGGTCCCAACACGGAACTCACAAGGAGGTCATGAGAGTAGATCGTTTCAAGACTGCTATTTCGAAGAGTCCTCCGCCCTGTCTACTACCTCTTTAGCCATGTCCGCTACAACCAACCACAACTTCTTTATCACGTCCAACCGCTCCATCTGCAGTACAACCTCACTCCTCCGTTCCCCCACACATATATCATTCGCAGTGGGAGTCACGTTCATTTACCTGATCGTCTAGTTACTGATTTTTCCAATTGTCATGCGTCCTTCGGCGTTGTCTTACAGTGCCCTGTGGCCTCAGGGTAAGGCGTACGGTGCCGAGGTGCCAGATTAGCTGATCTTTGATAGTCTCCTGCCTTAATTTTAACTGTCCCATTTGTTTCAACGTAATGAACACAACGCCACAGCTTGTCCCCATCGTATGCGGGCTTGACAGGAAGTTCGTATGACTTGAATATTGATTATACATACCTGGTGGTCTTTCCCTGTTGACGTAATAAGACTGGTTAGATGGCGTGAAATCGCAACACCTAAGTCATTAATAGTGACTATAGTGCTCGCCACAGGCCTCCCATGGGTGCGCGGCTATGTGTGTGATTGTGTGGGAGGACACACGCAAGGGTATTGGCAATATCAAAAGAGGTCTACGTACTGAAGTTTGGCTGCTCACTGCTGCCAGCGAAGCGCCACTCACTGGACTAGTTAAGGAGGATAGAGGCAAGCGGGTAGGTGCATCCACGGGTGCATAGCTTGAACCACATCCGAAAGTCAGTAAACGCAACGAAAGGCTGTTTCCGACTCCGTGATGATTAAGCAGGCCTACACACAGAAATAGTGGGATTCACCGTGTTCGGCAGGCAGCCGATCAGTAAATCAGGGTAAAGGAATTCGGGATAGTCAAAAAATTTCGCGAATGAGCACGAGGTATTACAACTATTGGAAAATTAGTAAGCGCACAGTGACACAGGTTTTAAAGGTCCCGGTAACCAAATACACATGGGAAAAAGGGAACCGATGCGATCACTTTGGCATCGTTAATTTGAGTGCGTTAGGATGCTACGGTAGGTGGCAAAGCATATGCATGTACATTTACCGGAGCCTGGATGAGCACGTTGATAACCACAACAAAGCCTACGAAAATGACGTGGTTCACTGTGACCCACTGGCTGCCATTCGCTGGATCAGGTAGGCGGATCCGCGATTAGCAACCACGTCGAGGCTTAAGAATTAAGAAGCTCGCCAGGAGTGCCCAGTGTGTTGTTTACTGAAAACCTAAAGGTCACACCGATAGACCGGCTTTGGAGGCTGCATTCACCGAACAAGTCAACGTAGCTGTGTTAACAGGGACTGTGTCGACGCCGCCGAATTAGACTGACAGGCTTGCAGTAAGCCGGACAATTATATGAAAGGCGCTCGTAACATGGCCTATGTCGTCAAGTTGGTGACTGCACTCAGACGCAAATCCACGATAAGCTTATAGATTAAATGGTTCACTGTGGCTGTGCCTGCGAATACGTATACCATTCACCCTGTTTGTGTGAAACCCTGGAATGTGTGTGTGGGGGGCCAGATGGCGTGTGCGCGTATGGGGGCCTGATAGTGTGTGTGAATGCGCAGAGTGGGCTGTTTTTAGCTCTGTCAGCCATCTCTCCCAATCTCAACATCAGTTGGTCGACCGGCTAGGACAATCAAATGCCACCCTACCGATGAAGGGACGACTAAAAACCCTACCGAACAACATCTACTTTTGAAGATATTGTGAGAAGCTCTCCACAGTTTTACCATAATCCTCACGTATATTTAACCCTTACCAAATTATGCTTAATTGCGCTTGCCAGCAAGTCCTAGCTATCGGATGCTTCTAGGTGGTAGACAGGCAAAACCTTACAGGCGAGAGAGAGGGCCACGGCAATAGTTGTGGAACGATTGCCAGAACATCTGACGGAGAGCCAGTGTGGCTTCCGACGACGCCGCGCAATCACCGATATGATCTTCGCTACCAATCAGCTACGAGAGAAGTGCCAGGAGATGCGGACTCCCCCCCACACAACTTCGTGGATCTAACGAAGACCTTTAATATGGTGACTGGCGAGTGACTGTGGAAAAGCAGGCAAAAGTTCGGCAATTCTGAACGATTCGTGCACATGGTACGTCAGCTCCACAACTGGATGACGGAGTGTGTCACGGACAACGGCGCGATCTCCGAGGTATTCGCAGTGACCATTGGAGTAATACGGGGCTGCGTCCTCGCGTCGGCCCTCTTCAGTCTCACATTCTCCGTCATGCTGATGGACGCCGACCGTGATGTGCTTCTCGGAATACGCATTGCCTACAGAACTGATGGGCACCTTCTCAACAGCAGGAGTATGAAGACTCCCACGCGACTATACACGACCTGCTCATCGCCGACGACTGCGCACTTAACACCACAACCGAAGTAGACATGCAACGGAGCATGGACCTCCTCGTCGTCGGGTTCGCCAACTTCGGCCTGACTATCAACGCGGACAAAACGGTGGTCATGCATCAACCCTCAGCCAACACGCAGCACTGCGCTCCTCCTTGAGTCTTCGACGATGGCAACCAACTGAAAACCGTAGAGACTTTTGCTTATATCAGAATCACACTTCCCAACAGCACGAGTATCGACGATAATGTTGGCCACGGAATCTGCAAAGCCAGCCAAGCCTTCGGCCGGCTACAGAACTCCGTGTGGAATCATCGCGGCCCCCAACTGAATACCAGTCTGGAGATGTGAAAGGCTGTCTTCATGACGAAATAGCATTGCGGAGCGGAGAGCTGGACCGTATACTCCAACCTTGCCTAGAAACTGAACCAATTCCATCTTGGCTGCCTTCGCAGACTACTAAAGCTGAGGTGGCAAGGCCGGATTCCCGACACGGAAGTCCTAGAATGGACCGGGATCCTTAGCATTCATGCCATGTTGAGGCAACTGTGGCTACGTTGGAACGGTCATCTCGTTAGGATGGAAGATATATGTATAGCGAAGCAATTTTTCTTTGGTGTTGTCCCCACCGGTGCTTGCCAACGGGGGTGGCCAAAAAAGTACACTATAATGACATACTGAAGAATTCTCTTATGCGATTGCATATAAATCCAGAGACCTTGGAGGACTTCGCCCAGAACGGACTGGCATGGTAATGAGAAGTGAAGACTGCCGCGCCATCTACG